CGGGGGGCGCGCCGGCCGGGCGGCTCGGAGCTCTGGGCTCGGTAGCCGAGGGGCCGCCGCTCAGTCAGTGTCCTGCCGTGCCCCGGGCGGTATCACACTGACCTCGGGGCAGAGACCCTGGGGGCCCGTCGCCCCCAGCCCCGGGTTTGGCTCCTGTGCATGGCTGCTGGCGCTGCGCCTCCCGAGGGCACGGCTGGCACAAGCGGTTCGGCTCACCTCGTACAGTGCCAGCATTTCCATGGGTGCCATTTTAATTTGGGGTGTTTTGCGAAAAGAAAATGTTTGGGTCTTATGTTCGTGAAGAAAATGCCCAAAATGCTATATAGGCAGCGTAGAGGTGAAATCCAACCAGTTGTTAAACCCTTGGGGAAGGATACGAGGAGCACCGGAGAAAGCGGAGGTGTGACCTTCCCCCTTCCTCTCCGGTGCAGTGGGGTAAGAACTCAGTGAACCGAGCACATCATCCCGGTAGGGTGCTCTCCAGTAAAACGGTGTGACGGATATATTCGAATTTACACTGGGGACATGGTTGTAGTCTGCTCCAAGAAGTTAATTGCAGTGACTCATCTGGGTAGAGTTGATCTCCTTGGCAGAGCAGTGCTTCTGTCACTCTCTGAGACACCAGGCAAGCAAAATGCAGTCCTTAATTCAGCGGGTGCTCTGCTGCTGACTTAGTTAAAATCTGGTCTTTCTCCCTAGAGCAGTAGATGGCACCAGGACTGAATTGTCCTTATGCTTTGTGCCTCATCATCAGCGTCCTTTAAATTTGTTCATCTAAAATGACCGACAGAAAAGCTAACTTTAACCTGCTTCATCCTGTCATCCTAAAGTATTTAAAGATCCACAGATAATTTAAGGATTTTTTTCTAATGAAGCTATAAAATTCACAAAGAAAATCATAGTAATTTTATATGCTCTCAAGATAAAACAGCTGATGGCACAGCTTGCACCCAAGTCTGTAAGTTGCCCAGATATTCCAAGAATTTGATCTAACTGCCTTAAAATTCAACAGAGCTTGACTGAATTATTTGCAGACATTTTACTGAAGTAGAAAACGTCATGGACTCTAAGGAAGACGAAATACAGAGATTTCTCTAGGCAATTTCTGACCATATTTGGTATGACCCTGGAGGTTTTACTTTAGCAGGAACTTCCATTAAAAGTATTTGAGCATTCTACATGAAAACAATAAAGTACTTTAATAAAGCTATCATAAGCTACAGTTTCCCAGGCTAGTACTATGGATTTTTCATTTTTTTCTTACAAGTGGGACTTTATTGTCTCACTCCCAGATTGAGAAAAGTACTGGGTGACACCTCTGCTCCCATTTCAAAGGGTATCTGTGCAGGCACACTGTGTATCCAGGACAATATTTAACATGCAAAGGCTGTAGTTCAGAGTTTTGCTTTGCTTTGTTCTCCTTAATGACATCTTCAGATATTCCTCACAGGGAGATGAGTATGCAAAAGACAGTCAAGGCTAAGGCATGGCATCTTATTATCTGTGTCAAAGTACATCTAACTCTTTCCCCAGGCAGCATACACTCTTATCTTTCCAGATCAAATATACTCTGTCTGCCTCTTGAATCATGTTTACAAACCATGACTGCAGCTGGATTAGAGCAGCATCCTTATGTGTTGCCAGTTCTGACCTTTTTATTAGTAAGAATTTAGGATTATTTCTATTAGAGATCAAAGTAAGGATAAAGCATGAGGAGAACCTTCCAACTTCTGGACTGTGCTTTGCTACGTGCTTTCAGGCTTTGGCTTCACAGGCAGCTGAGCCGTAGGATGGCTCCATTCCTCCAAATGGAAATCTTGCCTCATCTCTTCCTTCTCTTGTCCTTCATCATCCACCTCAGATCACTCTTCATACATGCCTCCTTTCACCAGCAGTTCCACCCCGTGCCTGTGCTAGATGTATGACCCACGCATACCTACATTTTTCTGCATTAGTTTTCTGCTGGGTTGGTGAGTTACATCAGTTCAGAGAGATGCAAGGACCAGCACCACACGGACATTGGGCCAGCGAGACTAAGGCTAAGGAGGAAAGGAGAAGTGGGGAGAAAGGTATCCCCACTTCCGCATAGATCCAGGTAGTAAATCAGCCCGTCACATCTCTCAAAACTACAGCGTTGTTTTTTCCCAGGCAAGTAGGTTTATATGCAGGTGACTTTCTCATTCTGTCTCATGTTTCTGCCCCTTTTCTTTCACATACAAAACTTCATTTCCTTCAGTCCCCTGCCTCATTCATGTGTCGGATATTGGAACCCCTCCCAGGAACAGATGACCTACACTGTTTAGATCTGTCTGTGTCCTTGGGCACATGTTTTCCATTGTTTCAGCTGACACTAAAAGGGGGGCAACTCATTGATTCCATGATTACTCTGAGTGGAAAATGGCTATTATATCTATCAGGACTGGAAGCTGCTTTCTCTTTCTGATGTCCCTCATAAAATGTCACAACGCTTCAAGAGGTGCCTCTGCTTACCCATCTACAATTCAAAATCAGCCTACTTGCTGTCTCTTACACCAGGGTTATTAATTTCTAATGCCTGTACTAGACATCTGTAGATTCAAACATGTAAAACTGGGGGGGTGGTGTTAAATATTGATATTGTCTGCCAACAAAGGACACTGTTTTGATGTGAAGAAAATTTAGTTGTTTAATATAAAATTTCTTTTATAAAGCTTTTAAATGCAACTGAATGTGGAAAGTTCTGTGTCGTGCCATGGTATTTTTTAATCGTTTCTGCTACTCCTTGCTTCTTGTTAACTGCCTAACATTGTGATATGGTGTATCTTACTTTTCCCTCAACCACTCTTCCCAATTTTATCTCTCTCTCTCTATATCTATTTATCTGTCTCTGTCTAAATATGCATATCATTCTCATTTCTTGGGGGAGGGAGGAGACAAGCAGAAGTTGATCCTGTGACAGACATTTATTCGGCTTGCTTTCTTAGCCAGAAGTTCAAATCCATTTGCAATTTCAAGGCTTTTCACACCGTAGCTGGCTCTTCCACTCTGCGTTATTCTCCCTTCCAGCTCCGTCTTCTCTGCACAGCCCCTTCAGCTTCATCTCAGAGAAGTCTCATCTACCAGATACCCAAATGGCTCACAATAAATGTGCTGTCATAGTGTGCAATCCCTGCATTAATTCACAAGGACTTGTACTTAATCCTAGATGCATTAGAACCCAGGTAAGACTGGGTTCTAATACAGTTTTATTTGTATAATTTCAGTGACAAAATGGCAATGCCATTTTTATCAGCAAAAAGAGGGTGGTTTTTTTAAATTTCTTAATGTGTCTATACAGGAATTCTTTTCCAGACTCTTTGTTTTTTGTTAGATGGGAGAATATGGCCACAGCAGCATTTTTTTAGCTTTGTCACGAAGTAAATCTGCTACCACCCGCAAGTCTACCTTTTCTTTAACAGCTCAAAACAAAAAGAACAACCTAAATTCCTGAAGGCTAAAGCAGAGAGGAAAAGATGGCACTTACTATTTTAAACAGAATAGGATAAGAAAGAGAACATACCAAAAGCCACATGAGCAAGTCTGTTTCTCAGCCTCTATATTCTTCTAAATATGCTGGAGCCTGCTGAAGTTGGCAAACCAAATGGTGCATAAATCTTTGCCATTCTTTAGCTTGCAGATGATTTGGATTGGAGAGTATTGGTGTTTTCACAGAATTTCGGACCCGACATTTATAGCCAAATTTCCAATCTTTATTAATCTCTAGGCAATACTGTAATCTGAATCCTAGAAATAACATAATTTTCACAATCTGTCTAAAATGCAGCCACCACAACAAAGCATGAAATAAGCCTGACAAATCTATTTCAACTTAGCTTGTGCCTCCCGGCACCTCAATCATCCCTGCTGTGAATAAAGCCCTTTAGAGTGAGTAAGCTGTACCACAGCAATGAATTATGCTTTAATCCAGCAAGCTGCTTTGCATGGCCGGCTTCTGCACCCACGTGGAGCCCTGGGGTCCACCAAGATGCAGCAGCTTGCCTGACTGCGTCTGCAGTTTGTCTGGTGTGAAATTGCCATATGCAATATGCAGAAATGTCCCTGTGTGTACAGCACCCAATTGCATGTTCTTAATTTCAAAGAATTGTTTGCAACATGAACCAGAACCTCCCTTGTTTGAAGGTAGCGGAAGGGCTCTTATGCTCTTTCCTTGAAGCTGATCTTTTCAGTCTTAACTGGTGTCATATATTAAATGCCAGACTGCAGACAAGAAACCTTCATATGAATTTATCAACACTTTATTTGCTCATTAAGCGTCATGATTTGGCCAGCACTGAAGAAAACTCAAATTAAAGACCATTGCTGCCCTAGGGACTTTATAATCTAAATCTGATACAGGAAGAAAAAATTCTCAGGGAAGCTAAGGACATGGAATAACTTTGAAGACTTCACTCTCTTTTCCCTTAAGCTCTTTTCCTCCTCTCATTTCTGTTTGCAGAAATAAAAATTGCGTGCAAGCCCTTGTCCTCTAGTATTCTAAGCAGCTGTTTCCTTCTCCTTACCAGCCCAGCAAATGCTATTTCCCCCTTTTTAATACATTAAATACATCCTGCAAATCTCTTTTGTCTTTTAGGTTTTATTGAGCTGATCCTATTGCTCCTATTGCTCCTTTTAGCTTTGTCCATTAGCACACAAGACTTCCAGAACTGTTGGGTGCATGTCACTAATTTACCCTAGGACACCAGCTTTAGGAAATGAAAGACAAATCCAGCTTGGTCCATTGCAGTGTATCCTAGAAGACAATGTCATAGTCTCAAATTTCTCTTTAGGCCTCGGGGATCTTTTTGTACCTGTCTTTTTGTCTCCTTTTCTGCTGCATCAAACGCAGATCTCCTCGCTTGGCCTTCCAGGCCTTCCCCAGCTGGCACGTGGCCCTGTCCATATTGGCTGTTAGTTCTTGTGGTAGGTCCTACACTTCACTACTGGTGCAAACCTTTCTTTTCTTTGACCTTGGCTCACCCATACAAGGAAGGAGCTGTCCTGTCCATCAAAGCCCTTAGCATTGCTAAAACTGTGTGTTCACAGCCCAACAGCGGAGCCACATCTGTGGCGGCTGGGTCACTACAGATTTGCAAAGTTGCCCTTGTCTCATACTTCCTAGCCCCATCACCCAGATGTCACCTACTTACATTTAATGCTATATAGCATTGCTCTCCCTTGGGCAAACAGTAGCTTTACAGGAGAGAAGCTGAAGCTACACCCAG